GCTTTAGCACATAACAGAACTGACAACAGCAAGCACAGCAAATCTCATTCTTTGGACTTCATTCATAAAACATGAGCATAATGTTTGTTTTTTTGGTGTAAATCGTACATAAAGCCATTCTAGCATACATTTTTGAATTCATTAAAAGTGTTCATATTTTCAAAATCTTAGTACAAAAATAAGACGACGCCATAAACTGAATGAATAAACTAAATGTGTGTAAACTGCGAAAATACATTTCACAAAAATGAACAAAAAAATGTAAACAGCTGTGAAGTACAGTTTACATTTTATTGCGGATCTGTTTGTAAATGCTGTCTCGTCTTTAATTAAAACTGCAGGGCTCAGAGAAAAGGCCCGCAGTGCAGGTTAAACCCATAAAAGTCTTGGAAGAAGCACACAAAGGCCATTTAAATGCACTCAATTTGATTACATCTAAACTGATGAGTTTTAAACTGGCACGTAAAGCAGAGAGACATGACTACACTGGTGGGAGTCAGGCGACCTTTAGGTAACCACGGGCAAACCATTACGATTACAAAAATATAGTGTCTTGGCAAACCGCTCTGGCTCAAGTTCATATTTACACATGCTAATGAGCTTTGTTTGCCACATTTGCCATTTACTCCGCTACTTTGTTAGCATGTTGTTTAGCTACCGATCCAAAACTCAAATCAACATAAAATATTGTAAAATAGGTTTTTTAATCAGATCGAATAACTTTCATCAATGCTTTTTGGTATAAAATCTGTACATCACTGAACTTGGATTCCTTTATTTATGCTTCCCTTTAAAGCGTCTTAAAATGGCCTTCCACAAGGTTTTGGTAAACTAAGGGCCGGGTCACACCGAACTTGTTTTTGCTGTTTAACTTTTTAACTTGAGTGGCAAATTTTTAGAAAGCCGTGTCATGTGCGAGGCGCTGCATAAGACATGAGGGGCGAGAGTGATGGTTAAAGACGTCCATCTAGTGCGTTTACATTGAAAAAGAAGCACAGTGGGACGAAAAAAAGCGTTCTGTGTGATTGGCCCGAAAGTTTGTCACAAATAAAGGGGTCTTGCATAAGGGTCAACAGCAAGTTTACAGTGATCTTTCATCCTCTGTCCAGTTTCCGTGCCTGAACGCTTTAGCATACTGAGTCGATCTGTGTTCCTCTCGATCACTCTGAACTGCCCCTCTCTCAATATTGAGCCTTCAATATGACTCTATCAAATCAAGCCAGAGAGAAAGAGAAAGGGGGCCGTAATAACCCAATAAATTGCCTCCCTGGGGCACCAGTGTATTCACAGAATATCAAAACTCCTCTTTCTTACACTCTGCAGAACGTGAAGGAAAAAAGCTTCCTTGTAAATCTAGCAGCGGTGATTAGTGTTGCAGGGGAGGTTTATTTAATAAAATCATCACTTGATCTCAACAGACTTTGACATTGCAAACCTGTATGTGAAAAACTACAGCGTTAAGCCTCACAAATCTTGTTAAGAGTTTTGATAGACATGAAACTTAATATAAAAGCCACATGACAGGTGCTTCAATAAGTCTGTCTATTTTTTCCAGCTCTATGTTCCTCTCATTCTCAATCTATCCACTTTCCTACAGAGGGACATCAAAGCGATTTAAAAAAAAGAAAAGAAGAGACAGCACCACAGCTGTGGCGATACTGGAAACTGTGTAAGGCTTCGAATGAATGCTGGGAAAGCGAGGAAGCCATTGATCTTTATGGATTAGTTCTGATCTGCTGGGTTTAGACACTGACATTACAATACCATATGCTGGCCACATTACCATTAAGATTTGAATTAGCTTAATGTGCTTGCATGAAATCACGACTGTTATTCAGTTGAGAAAACGTATTCGAGGTATTTGTTCTGGTTCTCTTTGATATTACTTAAAGGGATGGTCCACCTAAAAATTCTTTCTTCATTTACTTACCATCAAGTTGTTCCAAACCTACGGAGCCCCTAAAGGGACATGGTGAAGGAAAAGAACATGAGACGGATGAGATGTGTTCCCTTGCAAAAACTTTTGCATTCCGCCACAAACTTTGGGTTCATGCGCAAAGAGCTCTAAAGGTGAACGCAAAGTTTCTTTGGGGAACGCAAAACATTTGTGAAAGAATGCAAAAGCATTGGCTTATTTTTCCTCCAATCTAATTTTTTCCCCCACCACCATGTCCCTATAGATGAATGTTGGTAACCAAACAGTACATGCGCCCCATTACCAGTGTCGTGCCTGAACACGTTCAATGAACGTTCATATTTTGGGCGAGAACGTGAACTGAACGTACTGAGTTACTGCCTGATGAACGTTAATGTGAACTCATTCATTCTGGTGTCTGTGAACGCACACTCTCTCAGTTTAACTTCGTTCAATAGGGTGCCAGATTTCTATAGAGCCTTCCAAGTGAAAACCCGACTAAAACACACGTAAACAGACCTTAAATGTAGTGAAAAAACACCCAATCTGGCAACACCAGCCACCAGTGTCACACCGCGGCCGCCATCGACAAAGCAGCGAGCGAGGAGGCGTCGTATGATCATTTTAACGGGTTTTATGACGAGGTCGGTGAGGATGGAAAAAATCTTACATTTGTGTGCAAACTGCCTGTCGATAAAATAATTGTTGTCTGTGGTTGTATATGGGCTGTGGCAAGAAGCTCACAACACATGGAAAAAAGAACTATGAAATAGTTCATTTTTGAAGTATGAACTGAACTAGTTCATTTTAAAATGTGTGAACTGAACTTTGAACTAGTTCATGTAGAAAGTGAACTTTCCCAACACTGCCTATTTCCTTCCATAGTTTGGGGGGGAAAAAAACAGAACAGCAAAGTTATTATTAGTTCTAGGAACTCTTTTGGAGGACTACTACTTCAAAGTAAGGGTCTAAACCAGCATAATTGGAACTATCCGTGACGTTGTGTACACTGATTGGCTGAACACACGCGAAACACCAGCACCCGCCCTTTTTAAATAGGCTATGTAAACACACAGATTATAGCCAACATATTTACTCCTCAAAGTAACCCTATGAACAAACATGGAAAACAGTGATAGATGGGCCTCTTAACCTTTGCGCTGATGAGAAGATCCAACACAACTTTGAGGGAACCAAGCCAAACATGATTATGTAGGCTATTCTGTTCAACTAGTGACACTGTGCTCATCAACCGCATAGCATACGCTACTAACTTTTCATTAAGTCTACTTTCTATATATAATAGTTCTAACATATTAGACAGGACTGTTGCAACAAGAATACTTTCCAAGGGGAACCATACCCAGGTGGTTAATTCCTAGAACTATTATAGGTGCGAAAGCCCCTATTGATCAATGTATCTATCCAATATCAATAAATTAAAATCAAAATAACATTTTTATCATCATTCAGATAAAAAGAAAAAAAAATGCTAATATGTGGGATATGTGGCATATGATGAGTGATATGATGAAGTTTAATACTTTGGGTTAGGGGTTTGTTCAAATGTCCAGCCTAAGTATAAGGTTCTGGCCACACACACACACACAAATAAATAAATAATAATTAAAAAATAAAATTATATATATGAAGAGTTCAGATGCAAAAGCCTCTAAATGCCATTTGAAATTTTCTTCTAAAATTATCATTTTTATCAAGCTTGTATATTTAAGTTCAGTAATTTCACTTAAATGGCAATGAAGATTACCTATTAATTGTCATTTAAGTGAAATTACTGAACTTAAATATACAAGCTTGATAAAAATGGTTATTTTAGAAGAAAATTTCAAATGGCATTTAGAGGCTTTTGCATCTGAACTCTTCATATATATATATATATATATATATCATAATTTCATTGTTTAATAATATAATTTGATTGTTTTGAGTAAATCATGTTCACATGCAACCTGTTTATTAAAGTAATGTAAACCAGGGTGATTATAAACAGGAAAGAGAATTTTGTATGCCAGTAAGCAAAGCCCAGTTAAAATGCAGCTCAGGGTTTCCCTCTTTTCCACCCAAAACGTTTTAACACAATAAATCTGTTATCCTGACGAACAGACATGCCAACTTTTCTTTCAATTCCCACCTCAACGGAACCCTGAATTCCAAAAACAAGGTCAAAGTGGCCTGCCACACACACACACACACACACACACACACACACACACACACACACACACACACACACACACACACACACACACACACACACGCACGCACGCACACACACACACACACACACACACACACACACACACACACACACACAGAGTCTGACAGAGAGATTCAGAAGCACTGACTGGAAAGAACATCTCTTCTTTAGTTTGACAGGACCTGACACACACACACACTCTCCTGAGGGCTGTTAGTTTTTAGTTCCCCGAAAGATGGATGCTAAATGTGTGGACCTTTTACAGGTGTTTGGCACTGTTATTAATGGCTTGCTCAGTCTTGTTTCTGGCAAAATATACTGTCCAATTGTTCATGACCCACTTAACTGACTCACTTTAGATTATAATTCACATCATATCATTTCATAGCACACAAAGCCTGCTGTGTCATGCGTTGCCATGTAATAACGCCACATGAAACCAAGTCATAAAACAGTGAAACTGATACACTGGCTAGAGGGGCTGATTCATAAAACACGTCAAAGATCATTAGTAATAATGCCTCTATCCAAACATTCACCTTGACATATATGCAAAAAAAATTCATTTAAAAGTACTAAAACAACATTTGAGTCTCACTTTGAGACTAAATGACCTGAAACCCAAGAACTTTGTTTACTTCTTTGCGACAGTGCTTTAGATAAACCATTTCCCCGCCACACCCCGTCACTCTCACGCCTCATGTATTAATTATAGCAATGCCAAGCTGCCCCACTGTCTTGCAAAAGATGTGGCAGCGCTGAAATGTCCTCTATTTATAGTAGGGAGTTCGTTCTAGGGTGGTGGGGACGAGCATGGGATGGAAAAAGGGTTTGGTCGGTTACATGTTCAGAAGGAATTTTCCTTACCTTCTATGGATGGAGCCTGGTCCTGGGCCGCATACAGCATCTCCTTGAAAGCCTGTGTCAGAAAAATAGATACGATAATGATGAGATCACAGTCTTGTGGTACAGGTCAGTGGGGCAATGATGTATTATTCTTACACACTCCATTAAAGCAACTTGTTATGGCAAAGATGGTTCACTTGGCTGGATATAAGGTAATTTTGGTTACTTCAAATGTTGATCTAGTATGCTTTTGTTACTTTGAACATGAATATTAAACTCTTTGTGTGAAATGTCTTTCAGTTCTCTGGGAATATGGTTACCTACTTCTGTTGGCATGCCATTAACCTTGAAGATAATGAAAATAGCTGGACAATTATGCGTGATCTGTATGATTTTTCAGAACACATGTAACTTTATCCCAAAGGTAGATTCCCAAAGATGATAGATTCACCTTTAGGGCTGCCTCAGTAATTTGAATGCATTTCATTTCATGTCAGTAAGGTTATTCTCAGTAATATGTGCAGTTTCATTCAAGATGGGAGACAATGCTATTGAAATGTACATTGAAAAACATGCTAGAATGTTGTTATTTTTTTTTATTTGAATTATTTCCACATTCATTCATTGGAACACATAAAGGTAAAAGGTACCCAAGCTATTTCAACATATCAAATGGGTACTTCTATGTAAAATCAATCCAATTTTGGAAACTTCCCCAGCTCAAATGTTTGATTTTTTAATACTTTTTTTCTGAAGAAAGACACATAAATAGTAATGAAAGTCATTGGTGACTGTTGAAAAAAATGGAAAAAGCACTTTTTTTGCCCCAAGTTCGCTACAAACACAATCATTTAGTATTTTTTTTTTTTGGTATCTTCATTTTAAAGGTCCTATATGGTTCAATCCCAGAGATATGGATGTCTTTATGGGGCTTCATAAGTAAATTGGTGAATTGTGTACATTTTCAGTGGTCAAAAACCAAATGTTGTTCACTTTGCACACAGCTGATACTTATTGCATTTAAAGTGCAATGTTTTTGTTGCTAAAGTAAACAGATTTTCATAATGGACCAACCCATCTGCGTAAAAATAAAATAATGATGCTGCCATCTTTTCTAATGTCATTTTGACCAACTCTACAAAACAATGAATTACATACAGAAAAATACATTTATGAAATTTAATATTTTGGATTTCTTCTTCATTTATGCATTTCTTTCACAATTTTTTAGCCAGTGACCTCTTGTTGAGTTGACATGGACTGAACCAAATAACATTTTTTACATGATTAAAACAAGGTCATTTAGCCCATCAAGCTAATTTTCGTTTACCTGACACAATATATTTTACAATGGAGGATTACAGACTCACTTCTCTAAATTATTAAACAAATAAAAAGATGGATATAGCCCACAAAAACATTTACCAGCACTCAGGGGGCGAAACATTATCTGGTGATACAACAAAAGACAAAATCGCAATCAAGAACACTTTTTTGCTAAGCAGAAGACATCCCTCCCTACAAAGTTGAATGCTAACCAAGACAATTAATGTAGGGCTGCATGGATGCTAGAAGACTTCTTTTCACTATAAACAAATCTCACACTCAAGGTCAAAGCCTGGCCAGTGTGTCAGCCAATGAAATAAGAGAATCGCTGCATTGCCATGGCAATGATGATGATGACACAAAGGCTAGACGTGCTCTCTGGAGTATTCAAGTTATAAAACCAATAACTGAAACCAGGATACATGTGCACTATACATCTGCCTCTTCCTTTCAGATTCAGAAATGTGTGTGCATGCGTCTATATGAGATTTGGCCAGATCTTTGCATCCAGCGAGCCTGACAGCAGATGTCATCCCAGTGGGAGAGGGAGCACAAGTCGCTGTGTGTATATGTGTCTGTGTGTGTAAGTGTGTGTCAGTGCATGTGTGAACAGCAGGTCTGTGAAGTCAGCCAGCAAAGATCCATACATCCCAGCCAGTAAGCAGACCTGCTGCTTTGAAGAATATATGCATGCTCAAAACAAGCCACATATTCTATATATATATATATATATATATATATATATATATATATACACACAGGCAAGTATCACTATATTGCTCATACTTAGGGTTGGTGATTTACTCTAAACCCATGCATTTAAGCTTAAAAACTTGTACTGTTCTGCCTCAGACATGAATTATACCTCAAATGATCATACTAACATTTTCCACCAGTGGACAATAAAACAGGCAAAGCAAGGATGAAAGTCATATTTAGGGATCACAAATATTTGTGGGTGCATGGGCTCTACTAATTTAGCAATCTGCAAAAGCCCAACATTTCCTAATAATGCCTTAGTAACAGCCTAGAACACACTAGCAACCACATAGAAACACACATTCATTTTCTCCAAAAGGAAATTGATTTTGAATAATAACTTAAACCATTAAAGACAGACCTACTGAGGTTGTTAATCCATATTTGTTTCTGCTCAACTGTCAGCCTGCGTTATTTCTGGTTATAATAATCATTTCAACAGCAGAATTGGTGAAAAACTAAATTACCCATGATTCTGTACAAAAAATGATATCAATCAGAGTTTTTAAAAAAGCACCACACCCCAAAAAAGCTTTTTAGCTCCGCCCACCCTCATGAAGACCCACAAATTATGTAATCTCCCCATTCTTTAAAAACATTGAAATACTCTATATTTGCATATTTTGCAATAAACAATAAACATAAAATAAATTGTTTTTATGTATAATCAATGTTCCTAAATATTTTACTCCAATTTTCATTTGATGCAGTTTCCAATGCGTCATGGGCTTGTAGCTCTTTCCCTCACTAAAGCTGTTAAGTACACAATTTTGTCTCAATATTTTTGTTTGATTTTTTTGCTTCAAATCAAAGTTTGTAGATTCACATCGTAGCTGATTGGCTTGGATCATGGCTTATGACTTAACTTAAAAGAAGTCTTTTTAAAAATCTCTGTGGGAGAAATTAAACTCTATTAGCAGTTGCATAGCAACACCCTAGCAACGCCCATAAACACATCATCTCTCTTTCTCCCTTCTTAGTCAGTCTTAAAAGTCAAATAAAAGCGATTTAACTATTTAATATGCACAGCCCGAAGTGTGAATCCTAATTCATTCATCACAATCAGTTTGTCAATTTATCAACAGAAAGACTAAACGATTCATCAAACTTCTTTCACTCTTCTACAACTGCAGTGCTCTTTCGATCTCAGCTTGATATTTCATAATTCAAGGTCATCGTCTAAATATGTTATGTAATCAAAAAACAATAAACCTTTTGTCGTGTTCAAAGTTTTAAGGGAAGGACTAAGGAAGTTTGGCCCTTTAAGCCAGTTTATGGACTCAGTTTTATTGCGTAGAGCCTGTGCGGCTGCTTCTCATTGACTTTCTCTGGCGCTGTCAGCCACAGGCGGCAAAGCAATACATGAGCAGAGACTGAGTATATAGTTATAATGGCTTAACTGCTCACAGAGGGACTTCAATGACCCAACATTAATAAATTCGCCTTTTCTTTGGGATGCACTCTATAAGACACATTGTATTAAATGTAGCTGAAAAAAGATGTTCTGATCTTGTAAATCAGAGTTTAGACTCTCACTATACTGCACAATCTGTCACTGTATGTAAAAAAAGAGCCAGACAGTTCATTGATAAGGCTGTACAGTGCTGGAAAGGATATTGCTAATCATCTATCTGTGTCACATAAACGGTATAAACACAGTTCACAGATTCCCTGGTAGTGTCAAATGACTGTGTCAATGTCAATGCTGAACATTATGAATTAAACTATTTTCCTTGAGTCCTTTGTCTTGTCCTTGACAGATCAAGCTGGATTCTCAACTGCAGTCCATTCACACATGCAAATTGGCACATGCGGCAAGTAACCAAGGTTTGACGGTGAAACTCCCTCAGAAAAACAACTGAGATTGATCAATCTTAAGCAAAACAGATGCAACAGATATAGAGGCACCATGCCACTAAATCACTTGAGAATATCTGCATGTATTTTCTATTAAACGGTCAAAGACTAATTAATCAAACTATGTGAAAACAAAGAATTACTATAGACTAGACTGGATAAAAACATTTTGTTTCCAATAGTCGCAGTAGTTCATATTTGCCTGGGTTCTCCGTCTGATTACAGATTCAGCGCTCCAGACAAAGGATTTCTCCTGCTTTGCGCCAAAACGCACGCTGAAGCCCTGACCATCCACCATCACACAACAAATACCATTGATTTATTGTATAACTGTGGGGTCAATAATTTCACAGCACAGAAACAATAAATAAATCAACATGAGATAAAATCTGGCTTGAAATCCTTCATTATTCAACAGTTTGAATGACCAGTTTTCCATCCACAGTTCAGATGCCAAAAAACAGCATACGATCAAAACTAATTATATGATGGTCACTATAATAATAATAAATTCTTAATTAATTTAAATTGAGAATGTTCTTCTGGTTAATTTAAATTGAGAATGAAATTGTTTTATTTTATGCAGAATTCCATCCTAAAGCTGAGGCTTGAAAGTGGGGCATTTTAACGATGGATGTACCATGAATCTCTCAGAGCTCTTTCCTTTGTTCATAATTAATAAAACTGGAAACCTTGGAAACCATGGGCTGAAGCTGTATTTAACCTTTTCTTAATGAAGAAAAATTAGTGCATTACTATAACTACATTATGTTGTGGAAATTATGCATACATTTCTTGCTATTTTTAATTCTATATTATATTATATTTAATATAAACAATTAGAAATCATGATTATAAATTTACTGTATATACATTATATGCAGCAGAAAGAAAGAAAGAAAGAAAGAAAGAAAGAAAGAAAGAAAGAAAGAAAGAAAGAAAGAAAGAAAGAAAGAAAGAAAGAAAGAAAGAAAGAAAGAAAGAAAGAAAGAAAGAAAGAAAGAAAAGATTTCTCAGCAGAAATACTTTGAACTCTGATACTCAATTGATGCAGACATAAAGTGGGCGAGCAAGCTAATTATATAAAATGACCTTTCTGGCTTAATTCCAAAACAATAAGAAAAAAATAAGGAAGAATTTAGGCATGTTCACTTAATAAAAAATTACAATTATGTTATATTGAAACAGAACATATTATATAGATAGTTTATTATTATTATTATTATTATTAAGTAATTCTTCTTTGTGCCAAATGCACAGGCAGGTGATTGGGAATGCTCCAGACAAGAAACCAGAATAAAATCAATAACTGAAATTTGAAAAAGGAAGAAAAATTATTAAAATATACAAACATAAATACAACTGCCCAGATATAAAAGCTGCCAAAGGGTCCCTCATTAATACCAAATACGTTTTGGAGACAATTAATAATGAAATTATCATGTGATTCAATACAAAAATGACAAAAAGTGAATTTAGCAATACATTATTTTCCAGAAACATTATGTCAGATACGATTTGTTTTTTTAAAACACATGCAGGTCATTTAACTTAAACCTGTAACCCATCTTTCTTTGCTTCTACATAATATTTCCACTAATAGGCTATATTATGCACTATTCAAATCAAACAATCCGTTTATCAAAAGTTTTGCTCCACAAATCTGAACAGTCTTCTGGAACCTCTGAGTTCGCAACAACCGACTACATGCACCATGTAAAATTCATACATAAATCTCTCACCTCGTATTGTATATATTGCTTCCTCCATTCTGGAGTTATATGGGCGGACAGGTGCTCCGCAAACTTCATGCTGGCGGAGCAGATATCCACACAGTCGAACTATAATAATATCCTCGGGTCGGGCAACGGCTTCTTTGGGGCTTTTGTTATATCTGTTACTAAGTTACGGAGCCTCATACGTTGCGCGTTGCTTTCCGCTCTGTCTAAATCAAGTCCGGTCTATCACAGTCCACTATTCCCCGGTCCCACATATTACCCCGTTCAAAGTAAAACCCGCAACTTAGGGACTAAAAAAAACCTCGTCCGACTCCCCAAAACAGGTGCCTGAATGACAGCGCTACAGCGCCGGTGCGGGCGAATCTGGGAGTGACTTTCTCTCTCCAGACTCTCTGGGTGTTTGCGAAGAAGCTGGTGTCCGCCATCAGCGCGCGCTGAGTGAGTGAGTGAGTGAGCGAGCGAGCGAGCGAGTGAGTGAGTGAAAGACGCATGTGCGTCACCGGGCAGCGCGAGGCGCGTTTACACAAATAGGCTTGTTGTTTGTGATTATTTATGCTCGTTGGCTTAATATTTTAGAAACAAATAAAATAAATACAAAACAAATAAATAATGGTTAACTCTTTGTAATTGTTGTATTCTAAAGCCTGGTTTCACAGACAACTTAGATTAAGTTTGACTTAACATTTAAGTAGCCTAACTTTTATTTACGTACCTTTACTGAAAAAAAAAAACATTACTAAAATAAAGATTACTGGTGCGCAACTTTACAATCTTATCTTATTCTTATATTTATCTTTACAATATTTTAATATGTTAGTGCGGTTAAAATAGCTCTTGCATTTTAAAATTTCTGTAAACTAGGGGTAAATATTCTATTGATTTCTTATAGTGAAGCTGTAAAAACAATTAAGGTTTTAATAAGTAGCCTATAATCTTGCATAGCCTATATTTTTTAACATATTGTAGCTTATATATGACCTTGTATATCAAGATTTGCATAGATATATTATATATATAGATTTGTATAGATATGTATATTGCATATATATATATATATATATATTAGACAACTATTTTTATTTGTTATAATAATAGCTATATGTTAATATAATGATGCACATGCTTATGATATACGTAATTATGATATATTGATATAATAATTAGACTATGCCAAAATTGTATAATTTAGCCTACCTACACAACTCTATATACTTATCTCTATATTTAGCATACTAGAGCATAAATACTTTCAAAAAGTAGGCTACATCACAAAATATAAGCTATCAAAATATTAATTGATAGATAGTAATCAGGATTAAAATAACATTAATGACTTAAATACACAATAAACAAAACGAAAGTTAAAATTAGAGATCCAGCAGGCCATCCTTTCACTCCGTGTTTATGTTAAACCCATTTACATTTTGCTGATGTAGGCTACTGCTTGCTGACTCAAGACCATAGAGAGCTGATTTATGCCTACAGCTTTATGTTGTAATATTTTAGCAGAAATATATTTAAAAAATGATAGTAAAAAATGGTTAAATTAAATATTTAACAAAATCTAACAATTTAATTAATGAGCAAGAAGCGTTGCACAGCACGAAATAACAGCCAACTTCGCTCGGGGAAATGTGGTTTGTGTGCCATCTAGTGGACAATGTTTGCATTGCAAAAAATCTGCGTATAAATCCTAACTAATGAAGAAATGGATATCAGGAAAGGACCACTGAGAAAAGTTTGTTTGTAACTATCTATAATGTAAATTTCATTTTTGTAGCCCTTCTAAATTTGAGTTGAAATTTTGTCCGAGTTCTAACTTCTTTGAAATTTCAATTGCCAATCCTTAATAATATTTAATCTACACAGAAATATCTATAGTAATAGATGTAATAGATGATACGTCTATACAATTCGAGAACGGTTGTAATATTGATTTTGATTTGATTTCATGCGTTTACTTTACTGTAAAACGGTAGGACCTAAAAACCGGTCGCAGGACCCACTCGTGCCTATTATTGTGACGTACAACTCACGGACCAATTCTCAAAACAAGTCCGACTGAATCGGATTACGTACTGTACTAGAAGTCAACTGTCTGCGCTGGTTTTATTAGTAATTAATAATAATTAAAGCACAACTACTGTTGATTACCCCTATAAGGCATTTTCATTATCTTCAATGGCGTCCCGATCTCCGTCCTCCTCCCCTGACTCAGCGACAGGCTCAGGTACTGATCCAGCCCGGCCTGACACTGGAGAGCCGCTCGGTGGAGGATCCGACTCGGATTCAGATTTCGGAGTAGGGAAGTTTGATTGTGGTTCTGCGGATACAGCGCTTCGATTAGACGGGGCAGATCCGGAGAATGAGTTCGAGGTGGCAGCGGACCGGGTCAGAGAGCTCGCCCAGACAGCCAGTAGAGAGCAGCTGCTGTATCTGTACGCCAGGTTCAAACAGGTAAACAGAGCCTACTTGTCTTTTCTTTCAGTGTTTTATTTTATTTATTTTAATTTTTTACCATATCTGATAGTGTAAAATCATTATAAATTTAAACGAAATCTCCGGCAACACGATACGAAGCGTTGAGATTATTTGTGATTTTATTGAGTTTTTATTTACTTATATATTTTTTTGTTTACGCTTTATTTTAAGGTGTCATTGTTACAGTGCACATTTAATTACTGATTAATAGGTGATAAATAATATTAGGGTAGGATTAGGGTTTGGTTTAGGCTTAGTTCGTGTAAGTATGCATATTTTACTGTTATTACTGTGGTAAGTACATGTAACATTATGTAACAAGAAAATTGTCAAATAAAGCGTTACCATATATTTTTTTTAAACAAAGAATGATGGCTAATAAAGTTAGCCAAAATGTAATGTAGTAAAATAACTAGTTATGGTGTTTTGAAGTAAATGATAGTTTCCATGCTAAGTTTTGTAAACTCTTGACAGATGACCGTGCCCGTTGGTTATGGAGTCGAAAAACATTGGAATCAGTTTATTTGAGCATTTGTCAGTAATTCTATTAACTAAATATATTAATAAACTTATTTTTGACAGGTCAAAGTTGGAAAGTGCAACACAGCAAAACCTGGTTTCTTCGATTTCGAGGGTCAAAGAAAATGGTAGGCAAAGACTCTTAACAAGTCATGTTTCATACTAAATCTGGATTTTGATTTTGGGCTCATTTCATAGTTGACAGTGACATTTGTTGTCATCATAACTCCTTGTCTCTTATGAAAAATTGCAAATCTACTTTGTCCAATAATATGAGCTTTTTGAGAACAAAAAGTAATCTTTAAAGTCTGAGAGAGTGCTTCCTGTTTACAGGTCAGCATGGAAACAGCTGGGGGACATGAGTGCTGAGCAGGCCATGCAGGAGTATGTGTCCTGTGTACATGCCATGGATCCAGAAGGCAGTGAGAAGGTAAATATTAAATTGACTGTAGGGTCAATTGCATAAGGGGATGGAAAACAAGGTTTTTCTTTGGTCTTTTGCGATAAAATTGTTTGCTGTACTATAATATTAATGTGAATTGATATTCACAAGTCCCAGTCCAACTATATAAGTTATGGACTAACAGATTTGCTTAGTATTGTTTTGAAAGATTGTCACTTGTCAACTTGGATTTGTTGTTCGCAAATAAAGCATGACATTAATCAGTATTTTATTTTTTCGTGCAAATAAACTATACTTCTAGTAAGTGGATCTGTGCTGTAATGTTACTGCTTCACTGAATAACATGTCCAGAAGAGGGCAGTCTCTGATTGTGCAGTTGTTGCGCACTCCTGAAACGGGTAGTTCCCTTAGTTTAATAACCCTTTTTTCTAGTGGAGCTGTAGATGTGTTATTCATATCCATGATATATTTCCTTGAGAATTATTTAATGATGTTTACGCAGGCTTTTATGCAGTAACTATGCAGTCCTGTTGAGTTGTTCACATCTGCACATGCTGCAGGCATTTTTAGTAATGTTGCTTATGTGGGGGATGCAGGTTTAAGTCCAGCCTGCAACATGTCTCCAACTTATTACATTTTTCTCTCTTTCTTGTACATTACTTGTTGTTACTCTGTTTAAAATATTAGTTCACTTTAAAAAAAAAAAAAAATTTGCCAATAATTTACTCACCCCCATGTCATCCAAGACGTCCACATATTTCTTTCTTCAGTCGAAAAGAAATTAAGGTTTTTGATGAAAACATTCCAGGATTTTTCTCCATATAATGGACTTCATTGGGGTCCAAACGGTTCAAGGTCCAAATGAGACTTTCAGTGCAGCTTCAAAGGGCTTTAAACGACACCAGACGATGAATAAGGGTCTTATCTAGCAAAACGATCGGTCATTTCAAAAATAAATAAAAAAAAATTTTGTAAGTTCAAATGCTTGCCTACTCGTTCATCAAAATGAACAAATCTTTTTTCGAGACAGAATGACTCGAAAAAAGTGCTCGCCTTGCTTCAAAGGGCTTTAAACGATACCAGACGATGACACCTGACAGAATGACTCGAAAAAAGATTCGTTCATTTTGATGAACGAGTTCGAACAGGAGAGTCACGAACGCTCATCACAGAACAGAGCAAGGCGAGCATTTGTGCTTATAAAACGTAAACGTTGTTATTTATTTTTGAAATGACCGATCGTTTCGCTAGATAAGACCCTTATTCATCGTCTGGTGTCGTTTAAAGCCCTTTGAAGCTGCACTGAATCTCTCATTTGGACCTTGAACCATTTGGACCCCATTGAAGTCCATTATATGGAGAAAATCCTGGAATGTTTTCATCAAAAACCTTAATTTCTTTTCGACTGAAGAAAGAAAAACATGAACATCTTGGATGACATGGGGGTGAGTAAATTATCATCCATCCATCCATTCATCCATCCATCTATCTATCAGTAACCCAGTCTGACTGCCATCCAGATCAGCACAAAAGCGCATAAACAAATTCCCCACCTTTCAGACTGAACTGATTGTGTTAGTGTGTTAAAAGAAGGCCGGCAGCTCCATTACATGGTAGAGAAACAGCCCTGGTGAGGGAGGAGAGACAATAGCTTGTTTCTGACCTCCTGTGCACTTCTGTTGTTACGTGCACCTTCTGTGGAGGAAGAAAAAATAAGTGCACAAATTGACAGTATTTTAATACAAGCCTGCTATTCAAACAGAAGTGCAGATGCAGCTCTTTTCTGCCCCGAACTGTAATATTTTGAAGTCATCGAATTAAAATTGCTGTATAATAGAGCTGGCTGGCTGCACAAAGCAATTTTAATCTTTTCCTCAGCGAGGTTCAATATCCACAGTCCTTTGTGCTCGCTCTTTTGGGAAAAAAAAAAAGAAGAAAAGTGAATATAACAATGTCAAAAATACAAAAACTGTCAAGTCTAGCAATACGTGCAATGTCATCCCAGTTTTCTGTCATGTGTGAACTCTATGGAGGCCTATTGTACCT